TTATTTCTGTGTGTATAAAATAAAATAGTTTAATCCTATTTCATTTTTATCACTGCAGTTTTAAACTCACCTTTCATTGGCTAATTCTGAGCAAATTTCATGTGGTAGATCATTTATTTCATTAGATACTCCCTCTGGCACATAGCTGGAATTCAAATGAAGACTTTATTGACAGGATCATTCTTTATTGAGAAGGTAAAGAGCATCAAACAAACCTTTCATTTTCTGGAGCAGTTTCCATAGTAGGTGCATTAGATGCATTTCCACATTCTTGAGAACTGCTCTCATCTTCAAACAAGTCATCAAAATCATTATGAGTATTTCTTATATGACAAATCATACAGTCCTCATTGGGGAAAACTTGACCACAAATGTCACAAGAACTTAAGTAATCTTCAGCTTGTTTATGTTCACGGAGCAGCATATAATTTCCTAAAATTTCCCTAAAATCATCATTTAAAAAAAATTGTTAGACATTATTCTATACAATGCTTTGAATGAGGAAGAAAGGAAGATTACTACATACCCGCATTTTGAACACTGAATTGCTGATGTTTCGTAAGGGTGTAATGATACATGTTTTTCAAAACGGTCTTGAGTCTTGTAAGATTTTGGACAATATTTACACATGAAAGTATAGCTGTCTTCTTTGCAGTTGTCAGCAGTGTCATGCTGATTTTTTGTCTTGTTTGAGGGACTGCTTTGACAGGATAACTTCTGACTTATGTCATCATACAAAAATGAGTCAGTTGCAAGCTTGATTTTTTGATTTGACTGGGGATGAACTTGGTTAATCACACTGCTGTTCGCACCTTCATTATTATCTTTTGTTCTTAAACTCAATCCCAAATCTAGATGTGACTGATCATGTTTTAAATGGTCTCTCAAATTATCTACTTCTTCAGAAGGAACAGTTTCAATGGGTTCCATTGGTTTACTGAAAATATGAGAAGACATGGAAACCTCTGCCTTGTGAGATTGGGGAGACTCTGAGACAGAATCAAAGTGATTCTCATTTTCAGACGAAATGGTCATATTTTGACCTGAGAAATCCATTGGATGGGATTGCAAATTGTTTTGCATATCATTGCTTTTTGATAAAGATCTATCCCCAAGCATATGGGTCGAAGAAAATGGATCAAAAAGAAAATTAGGGTCATCTCCCATTAAAGATGAATGCAAATTTTCCACTTGTAAACTTTCTCTGGAAGATGGATTGTATTCATGTAAATCCAAGCTCCTGAAAAAATTGGGAAAATTATTAAACAAATGCTTCAGGAGTTGTAAATTGAATAGTCACAAATTTAAAAGTACTTACTCCTTATTTTGAGTATTATGGAGAGGAGGTATAAAGTTGAGAAGATTTTGAGAGTGAATTGAGTTAAAATCATCACTGTGTAAAATATCTTGGTGAGCACTCTCTCTTGTGGGCTGCCCAGGCACAGGGAGTGCACCATAAGGGTTTGAACTTTCCATGTTTATAATCAATTAACTTTGTTGACGTTCTTGTTACAAGTCATGATAATTGTGGCACTCTAACGTTAAACAGAATCTCTTCCCTTGAATTATTCGGTTCATGGTGCAAATTCAAGAATTTACTGAAGACTTTCCCTGTTGACAATTAAAGTTTCATGGTGATAGCTAAAAATATTAGAAAACAAATTGAAACCAACTGGAAACATAAGTTAAAACAGATGTAAGGAACACAAATATGTAATCGTAATACAGTGGGAGTTTTGCTAGGCGTTACTTGAAACTACTCAATGTGAAACATCGATTAAGAGACATGTGAAGAACGGACAGGAAATAAAGTATTTTATTTGGGGGATTTGATTCACATGATTGCATTTTACACTGTAGTATACACATAGCAGACAGAAGGAAAGTCCTGTTCATCCCAAATAAGTGTATGGGGAAAAGATGTGAAGTGACTCCTACACTTAGGGGTTAAAAATGCGGTAACGTAACGTCTGAGTCAACAATACTGCTTAATAACATTTGATGTCTCGTATGTCCATGCACTTTATGGAATAGTGAGGGATTGAGAAAGAATTGTTTACATCACGTAATGGCAATCGTTGGCTGCTTGGTTCACTTGCACGGTGGTGAAACATTTTCATTCCGCGATAAGCTCGATGCACACGTACCTTCAAGAGCTTCCCGACCAAGAGAAATAAGATGCTGTGTATTTGATCAATTTTTACACGAGGAAATTGAGCAAAACGCACAAATAGAACACATTTCGAGCAAAAATGTATCCTTCTTCCTGATTCACCAACACTAACATAGCATAAACATGAGAAATTCAGTACCAACGTGCACCCCTAAAACTGTTATGATTTACTAGAAACACAGTACAGCATAATTGTTTTTACAGTCGAAATCGTATGTTAATACGGTTAAAATAAGTAATAAATTGATGCTTCAATGAGTAAGAGGGATCATCGGCGATCCGACACAACGTGACCCCGGAAAGAAACTTCGATGTGCTCTGTTGGCTACACGCATTGCCATGATTCGAGTGTGGAGTATCGGCGCTCCCGTCAAGGGGTATCGCAGTCTGTGGATATTCTTGTTCTACGAGCCCGGTTGCTGTACAAAGCTCGGGGTGGACGGACTCGAGGCCCCCGACGTCTTCTTGCTCTTCGCGTCCTCCTCGCACTGAAGGCACGTCACGGTGACGCCCGGGAGTGCCCCCCTCAGGTCGGCGAGCTGCGCGGCACAGGCGGGCAAGGGGTGCGACCGTCCGTAGCGGTCCAGGAAGAGGGACTGGAGGGCCTGCAGGCTGCACGCGGACAGCTGCAAGTGGAGCCGGCTGCAGGTGTCGGGCCAGCGGTCGTCCTGGTGCCGCCAGCCCCAGCCCACAGCGGATGGCGCGGGGGTACCGACGTGCAGGGTCACCTCCTGGAGAGTCCGGCGGTGCGCTCGCAGCAGGGAGAGGGTCGTGGCCTGCGCAGAGGAGCTTCTCTGTGAAGGCACCGTGTCGCGGCATACCCGGGGCACGGACACGTACTCTCACACACCTGGGCGTACCTGGGGTATGTCGAAGATGTCCACCCACTGCAGTCCGCCCTGTCCCCGGCCCTCTCCGTCCTCCTCGTCGAAGGCCAGGTCGTCGTCCTGGACACGCAGGGCGACGTCGCCGTGCCAGACCTGCAGGCCGCGGAGCGCGCGGTGCAGCGCCATGGTGTGCAGGGCCTGCAGCAGCGCGCCGTCCACGTGGCACGCGCCCACCTCGCGCACGTGGTCCGCGTGCACCGCCAGCATCGCCGAGGCCCACTCGCCGTCCACATGGCACCACACGTCCGTGATGCGCTCCACCTGGACGGCCGGGCCAGTCAGTGTGGACTAACGATGCAGAGCGGGTAAGTGACCTCAGCGTAACTTACTGTACCTTGCAGTCGGCCTGCAGCAGGGCCTGCTTGACGGCGGCCCTGGCGGCGTGCCGCGGGCTGCTCCAGCTGGTGGTGGCCACGCTCAGGCCGGCGAGGCAGGGCGCGAAGCGCAGCACGCGAACCAGCTGGCGGCCGCCGTCGGCCTCGTCGCAGGTCGCGTCTAGCTCCCGGCGCCGCCAGACCTCCTCGCCCAAGGCGACCCGGCGCCAGTGGCGGCACACCTGCGAAGAGCGGCGCGGAGGTGCCATACACACTATCGTCCTCGAGTGCGCAAACCTCTACGGTGGGGAGCTCTGCCTTACCTGGCCGATGGACACGACGTCGGCGGCGGGCAGCAGCCCGATCACCTGCAGGAGTATGAGGTCGGGCAGCGCCGCCGCCGCCGCCGAGGTGTCCATCCCGGAGATGTTCGTCTCCGTCATCACTCCGTGGCGCTAATCGCTTTTCACATGCTCAGGGTAATGGTCGCGGGGGATGAAGCTCTCGATTTGAGAGCCGCGGGCGCGCTGCACTCGCCCACGAGCACAAGCAAGGCTCCGACTACTAGCTGCGCGCGCCTCGTGCGCGTGGTGGTGGCGGGGGACAGAGGAGATCAAAAATAGGAGAGTTGGCAGAGTTTAGTACGCCCTGCTGCTCTCCACTGGCGTAACGGCCGTGTCTGTGTCTGCAACACGATGGGGGTGGGTGGGAGAGGGCGAGTGGTCCGAGTGGATTGGAGAGCGGGACTGTCGATGGCAGGGGTAGGGTAGGCCACTCGCTCAGCCCCACTGCGCACTTCCACAAGAATGTGCCTACCCAAGCGGCGCTGGACGGCGGCACGGCATGAGAGCTCGATCATGGTGAAGGGGCGGGCTGTGAGGGTATTAGGACTTGATCCCTCAAGTTTTTGTATTACTAAATTTGGTTTGGTCATATGCTACAAACATTTTTATTTATTTCACCCAACTTTTTAAGCCAATATGCTGTATGCTATTGCTTTACATATGACAAAATTAATTTTTGAAAGATATTGTATACAGCATGAGAAGTGAAAAACACAATAACAATTTTTAAAAATATTATCAAACAAATTTCATTTTTAATTACAAAATTTATCTCGAGGAAGGAGAATCCAGCATTTGCTAGAGGCGTCCACTTCTTCAATTTCATTATAATTCCGTTGACAGCCCCGCTTACACAATTCACAGAGTCTTGTTGGAGGACAAAACTTTTGTATGTATGGTATGTACAACTTGAGCGAGGTGTTCATGGACAGCACCGCCTTAATTGCGGGCATGTGGAGCCAGGTGTGCGCGCATGATGGAGTACCGGTGGATAGAGATGGGTTCATTGAGCTCCATAACATGAGCGTCTCCAGGTGCGGCGCCGTGGCCGGTGTGATGCCCAGCAGCAGCTCGTCTGTCGCTTCATCGACCACTAGGCGTCGCAGGTATGGCAAAGAGTGCATCTCGGCGACGAGGGCAGCGAACAACGACTTCAAACACGACCGTGTGCTGTGCCAGCCTGGATTGGCCCTGATCGTTAGCATCTCAACGCTCGACTGGCTGGATGATGTTAGGCCGAGGATGAGGTTTGGGTAGGGAAAGGCAGGCTCATCGCAGTTATACAAAAGTAATTCTACTTCTCCCAGCTGAGTGGCACGTCGAAGAAACGGCGTCGCCACGTCTTCCTTGACTTTAAAACCCAAAGTGTTCCTCACGGAGAGTTTCACTACTCTTAACGATTCGCACATTGCTACGGCTGCGAGCCCAGGTAGCATACCGCAAGTTAGCTTGCGAAGATTTGGCATCCCGGACAGCAGGAGCGCAGTTGACGTTGAAGTCGAGGGCGGTTTCGCCGTTCCCCCAACACCCACTTCAAGCAAGTCAACCTGCTCGAGGGTGGTGGCGTGCACAGACAGCACGAAGTGGATGAATGACCATGTCTTCTGATCTAACGGATCCCAACGAAAATATTTCAGCGACGGCCTAGGCTGGGTGTTGTGTCGAGCGAGATTAGCTGCGGTAAACGGTAGACATGGCGGAAATTTAACATCTAGGTGCTCCAGGCCCGACGTCAGGCCGAGAGTCATCATCAGGGCGTCAGTCGAGCTAGCAGAGACGGAATCCGAATTCCATGGCAAGAACGCAATCTGAAGAATTCTTAGCCGGCCGAGCGCCTCCTGGGCGCGGATTACCGCAGTCGCCTGCACGAAGCCCTCGGCCTTGCACACTGTCAAGCGCAACTCTGCCACGGCACATCTGGTCGAGATGTACGCAAACTGGCAGCCGTCGGCTGGGAAGTCGACATCCAACCGGCGCAGGCATGGCGCCATCCGCAGCACCGGACACACCAAGGTAGGTCTACATGGCCTGCCGAAGCCGACGGACAGAATCTGATGTCGCCACACAGCAGGGTTCATAGCCAGCGAGCCAAACCTCTTGGACACGAGGCGTGCGGCTAAGAGGTCCTCGACGTCAAGCAAAATCATCACCTCCAGGAGGACATCGTCCGGTAACAGATCCATGACCTGGTGGGGACAGAAGACGAAAACTGTAGTTTAGCGATTGTAGCTTAGGATAGATTCAATGGCACGCAACCATAGATTACCGACTGCCCCCCCTCCCCCCCCCCC